CATATTTGAGGTCACCCCCAGGAACCATTAAGATTGACACTTAGTTCGTGAAAATCCGATCATTAGAACGAAAGTTATTCAGGGTGATTCTTTTTTTTTTTTGCGGACTGTACACAGCAATTGTCAGGCCCGCTTTCACTCATGCTTCAGTGATATGGTAGTGTAAAATGGAACAGAAAACTATGAAGGACAAGCTGGGGAGTCTGCAAAGACTGACCTGCTTGTGTATCCCAGACGCAATGTCCACAACTCCCACCAGAGCACTAGAGGCAATTCTGGACCTGGCTGCTTTAGATATCTTCATGTGCAGCGCTGCCAGAATGACAGCATATAGAATGAAACTGCAATATCAGTGGTATGGCAAGCCCTCTTCTGGAGGTCATACCAGTATTACTAAGAAAATCCACCATCCAACTCTCCTTATGCCTTCTGACTGCATTGAGAGAAAGACCATTTGAGGTAGTTTTTCCTACCAGAGAATAATGGAATAACACGATTGATACAAAAAATGATGATCTAATCTGGTTCACCGATGGGTCAAAGAAAGGTAACCTCTCAGGACTGGGGGGTCTATGGCGTGTCACCAAGATTCAATTTTTTGAAGGTCTTGAGGAATATGCTACTGTCTTTCAGGCGGAAGCACTTGCTATCGTCAACTGCCAGCAGATAAATATTAAGAAAGGCTACCATGGTAAGTGGATTCTTATTTTCAGCAACAGTCATGCAGCCTTGATGGCTCTTTACTCATTTCAAGTTGAATCAAAAATTGTTCTGGAATGCAAGAATCTCCTAAAAGAACTGGCAAAAAGGAATACAATTATTCTTATTTGGGTACCAGGACATATAGGAATTGATGGTAATGAAAGAGGTGATGAACTCGCAAAACAGGGATCCTCTTTCAATCCAATCGGAACGAAACCATTCTGTGGAAACAACATGAAGACTACAAAGAAGGCCATCCTAAAATGGGAAAAACAGGAGATGAACAAAGTTTGGCGCAATTCTCCTGGACAAAAACATGCTAAAAGCATGATCAGCAGTCCATCTGCAAAAATTGCTTCTGAAATCCTTAGGTTCCCAAGATTGAAGATTCAAACAATTGTAGGCTTCATCACTGGGCACTATCATTTTAGGAAACATCTACATAGAATGGGACTTTTCGAACAAGAACCAATACGTCGGAAATGCTGTGAAGCGGTAGAATCAGCACATCACATCTTATACGAGTGTGATGCCCTCGCCCTTACGTGCCTCACTACCTTAGGCAATCCATATCCTAAAGAGCTTCACCTTAACTCCATTAAGGGACTGTCAGACTATATAAACAAAGTAGGCGACTCAAGACAATGGAACTAGGAAAAATTGGGCTCTGAGCATGGTACAAAATGCAACAAATGCAGAGGTGCCACATATCTGACAAGCTCAAGCAAGAAGAACTTCATCCTGAAACACAACATTTGAATATGCTACTTTAGAAGAAAAACTGCCACTCCCATGCAACAACATATCAGCAAACAACATATCAACAACAAGTGAAACCTTCAGAAAAAAGGGGGACTCCAATAATAGCGACGCTGGACAGGACAGCCCATTTTCCTGCTTCCTGAAGATAAGAAAAGAATTTTGAGGTGGTCTGAATATTTTGCGAGAATTACATAAATTGTTGCAGAAGCATTTTTAGCTTCAGAGTCACATATAATAGAAGCTCATTTCCACCACTTACTTTTTCTTCAAAGCGTGGTTTTCATTTAATTGTTGAAAATTTCAAGAAGAAAAGTGTTATCTATAAAATCAATGTTTGATAAAAACATTTTCCCTCCACAATAAAAAATCTAGAAGCAATTCACACAAGTTGTTTTCATGTTAAATTTTTTACATCAACCTTAAGTTTTAATGAGCATACCAATCTATCAGATCTAACGAGCATTTTGCTGTTTTCCTAGTCCCTTGTTATATACATGTCCTACTGTATTTCACCTAGATATTAATATCTTCTCATAGAGTAGACATTTGCCAAGAAAAATTGGTAACATGGCATTTATGATCCTATGTGACTGTAAAATTAAATTTAGTGGTTTTTATTGATTAATATCAAGCTGACTTTCTTTAGAATAAAAATTTATATAGAAATCGGCTTTCAGTCAGAGCTGGAACAAGGTGTGAAGAAGCATGGAAATGGTAAGTAACTAGAGATCCATCAATTATAAATTAGTCAAAATTTACCAGTTATTCAGTTCTGTTGCAACTTTTTTAAAAATATTCAAACTGTAGAATCTTAATAGTCTAGAATTTTGTTCCTTTAACAATGATAAAAAATTTTATGTTAATTACACAAACATTAAACTACCTTAAATGTTAAGTTTTTATAATGGCAAAAATAATTTTGAAAAAATTTTAAAAAACTAAATATTTTCAGATGAGTAAAATACTATTTTTATAGATTATACTACTTCAGTTCTAAACTCATTACAAAGACTTAAAATACACACTAAAAAATCTATGTCAAGTTTTGTTTTTTCTTTTCCTTAATAAACTGATACTATCAATGCTCGTTATAATTCCCCCAATGGAAATTAATGTTATAACATGAGATCACTATATTATGAGTACACAAAACTAAAGCAAATATATATTCATTACTCATAAATACTGAACTTATTTTGAGAAAAATATTCTTCCTTCAAAATGTTCTTGTTGTAAGCATATGATGTAATGCTGATTATGAGCTGTCATTTTTGCTAAATAACATACATCCTGAAAACTGCAATGCCTAAGCAAAAATATTATCAAGTAGAATGTGGCCATATGCTTTAACTACAAAATGAATCACCCATTACAACACATCACATAAAGAGTGAAACCAATTTTCAGACAAGAAAAATTTTATTGAAGAACCTTGAAACCTATGTAAAGAAAATTTACAAAGACTCCGATTTCCACACAAGAATGCAATATGCGATAATTCTCAATGATCAGAAGTAATTAATATTTCAATTGATACTGTTTTTCACTCATTCAGCCAAAAGAAACGGTGGTTTGAATCATTCCTCAGTACTTATGCCAACCATTGATTCATAGTCAATTGGAGATTGTTTTGAAAGAGCAAAAATGTTTAACAGCCATTTTTAGAAAATTAAAAAAAAAGAATTAAAAAAAAATTTTGATAACCATATTAGAATGAACAGTTCAATTTGCATCTTTTTATGAGTGTTAAAATAACATTATTTCTATTGAATGCCAAACAGGATTGGCTGTAATAATGGAAGGGTCACAGTAAGGAGAGAGATACTAAAGACTGTTTCCACAACTTTTTACTAAACTTGTTCTTGCAATCCGAGACTTGAAGCAAAACATGATAATCGAAAAAATTAGAGGAGAGTAACTTTAATTCTACTTAACACATCATTGTTGAGGGACACATTAAATTAATTACGACCAAACTTAGTATTTTTTTAGTATTTTGCAAAATCTACAATCAAAATGCTTTTTTTTTTTTTAATTTAAAAAAAATATGTGACTCAATTTTGTTGTCTTAATTTTTGAGAGTCTGGAGCTGGAACCTAAGTAGTTCACTCCTTTTAAGTTGGTCCTGCTTATGTAATTTTATATAATATAATTTTAAAGGATTTATATTTTTAAATCTTTTTAATCTTTTTTAATACATTTGTTTATTTTAAGTGGTGATAATCAAGCTTCATTATGTCAGTAAATTTAACACAACAACAATATTTAACACAACAATTAAATTGATTTTTATTTGTTCACTTCAAATATAACTTAATTTTATGTACAGTTTAGAGCATTTTTATTATCAAAAAAAGGTTAATAAAAAGATCTCTACTCCAAAACTTCTTTTTAAGCTCTATCTGTTTAAGTACTAAAATAAGTTATACAAATTTGTAAAAAAAAAATGGAAGAATTTTCAGAATGTAAATATCAAATCTGGAAGAATTTCATTGATGGAATTAAGCCATCTTTATAAAACAAGCTTCTTTATTATCATTATCAAGATAATTGAACACTGGCTGCTCACTGTTTGAAAGTTTCCACTGTATACCATTACCAGCTGGTGCAACAGTGTATGGTAAAAGTACATGCCACCAAGACCTAAAAAAAATTACCTGTCTTATAAAGTCAAAATATTTCACATTTTAGAACAATTATATAATTTGAACTTTCAGCTTAACAATTCATTATTTAATGGAATACATATTTCTGAAATGTAAAAATAACTTGACAGTATAACATATCAAAATATTTAAATCACTCTACTTAAAATTCTTTATCAAACCATTGAAACTAGGCCCGTAACCCTTGCGTAATTACCACTTTCCCTTATTATCCATTTTTCGAAGGAAAAAAAATCTGAATTTTACAAGAAAATTAATAACAAAAAAAATAAACTACAGTGAACTCTCACTTATGCACCAGTGTAAGGGGCCAAGAGAAAAAAGCGTATAAGTGAAAGAGGCACATAAGTGAAAGAGGCGCATAAGTGAAAAACTTCAAAATTCTAAAACGCAACGTAAATTTCAGTGACAATATGAATAAATATGTTTCTAAAGATTAAATGTTAATATTTATACTGTTTTGGTATTTACTATAATTATACAAAGAAAAATACCCGTGTGGTGACCGGGTGTGAAAGAATAGTCCCAATGCAGCTCATGCTTGTCGTAAAAGGCGACTAAAATGGGTACCCAGTGTCTGAGGGTATAGCCGGGCACCCTGCCTCTGGGGATTATATCAGGGGACTGGTCCTCCAGGTAGGGAGTTGGGCATAGGGTTGACACCTCTATCCTGTAAAAATTTCTTGCTGCGAAATCCTTAGAAGAAAAATCCCGGATGACTTCACGGAAACGATTTGGAAAACGAAATTTGGATTTGAGAATTGGAAGCTGAAGCGTTCTGTCTCTCTATAGAGCTAAGGTTCTGCATTTGCTGTTAGAACAGATGGAACAATACAATATTGATTTGATTGCCATTCAGGAGGTTAGATGGATTGGCAATGGAACATTGAATAAAAAGAATCATACTGTTTTTTACAGTTGTCACCCCGAAAAACACATTGAGGGCACTGGCTTTATCATAAGCAAAAGAATACGACACCTGATTTTGGAATTTGAGGCAGTCTCTCCGAGATTGTGTAGGCTCAGAATTAAGGGAAAGTTCTTTAATTTCAGTATTATCTGTTCTTATGCACCAACTGAGGATAAAACAGAAGAAGAAAAGGAAATTTTCTATGAAAAATTTAGACAAAATTTACTACAGTTGTCCAAAATATTATGTAAAAATTCTTATGGGAGATCTAAATGCTAAAGTAGATAGAGCATGGGAATTTAAATTTGTAACTGGTGGATTTAGTTTACATGATACAACCAATGATAATGGACACAAATTAATTGATTTTGCTGCTTCACATAATATGATTATAAGAAGCACGTCTTTTCCACATAAAAATATTCATAAAGCTACCTGGCGTGCCCCATGTGGCACTTATGCCAATCAAATTGATCATGTACATATTGACGCAAGACATTACTCTGACTAAATGGATGTGAGAACTTATCGTGGAGCAAATGTAGATTCAGATCACTTCTTAATTATTCCCAAAGTCAGATCAAGATTATCAAATGCAAAAAAGTTTAAGGGAGAGATTTTGAGAGAATATGACTGTGATAAACTTAAAATGAAAGGATAAGGCTTGAATATTGCGAAAAAGTAAAGGAACAGTTGAATTTAAAGAATTATGATGGTACTGTGGAAAATAAATGGAAATGTATAAAAGACAGTATCTGTAACGCTGCCAATACCGTGATTGGTAAAGTAACTAAGAAACAGGGTAAGGATTGGTATGATGTTGATTGTGCCATTGTTAATGATAAAAAGAATGTTGCATATAAACATATGATACAAGCACACACAAGAAATGGTGCAGAGGAGTACCATAGACGCAGAAAAGAGGTGAAGAAACTCTTTAGGCAAGAAAAAGGGTCTTTGATGAAGAATTGTTTAAAGACATGAACATCTAAAATCCATTAATGAATGCAGAGCATTCAATCGGAAAATCAACCGCAGTCGATTGGACTTAAAACAGACCTCTAGTCTATGCAAAAACAAATTTGGTGAAATTATTAGTGATAAACAAGACATTTTAAAAAGATGGTGTGAACATTTTAAAGAACTTCTTAATGAAAATTGTGAGGACGTTGAAATAATTGCACCTGAATTCATAAATGACATCGAAGTTGAGGCTCCAACTATTGAGGAGATCAGAGGTGCAATTAAAAACTTAAAGAATAAGAAGGCTTCGGAACATGATCTTATTTCAGCAGAACTGCTAAAAAATTCTGAACCTACCTTATTGAGAAATGTATTTGAACTTATTACTGACATCTGGCACTCTGAGATTATGCCAACGGATTGGAATATTAGCATTTTGTGCAAAATTCACAAGAAAGGTGATCCTATGACCTGTTCCAACTATCGTGGCATTAGTCTTCTTTGTATAACTTATAAAATTCTATCTAGAATTTTATGTCTCAGGCTGTTACCGTTCATTGACTCAGAAATAGGAAAATATCAATGCGGATTCCGTGATGGAAAATCAACTAAAGATCAGATATTTCGTCTCCGTCAGATTTTAGAGAAATCAATGGAATTTAACATTGAAACACATCATCTTTTTATTGATTTCAAGGCTGCTTTTGATAGTATCAATAGAAATTATCTTTTTGAAACAATGAATACTTTTAAAATACCTTCAAAACTCATTAAATTGAGAAGACTTTCTTTGAAAGATACAAAGTGTAAGATTAAGTTTCTGGGGTCTCTGTCAGAAAATCTTGACACATTCACTGTTCGACAAGGAGATTCTCTCTCCTGTCTACATTGTAATATTGCACTTGAGAGAGTTATTCGTGATTCAGGCATTAGTACCAGTGGTCACATTTTTACTAGATCAGTACAACTACTTGCATATGCTGATGATGTTGATATAATTGCTCGTTTCCTTCTTGCCCTAAAAGAGGCATTTCTTGCCCTTGAGGTGGCTACAAGGCAAATGGGCTTGGTCATAAATGTTGAGAAAACAAAATATATGTTATTCTCAAGAAACAAAGTCCCAGACCCCTATCTTGAAATAAATTCTTATAGATTTGAAACAGTGAGGAGTTTAACTTACTTAGGATCAATTATTACCATTAACAACAGAATTACTCCTGAAATAAAACACTGACTCTATTTAGTGAATAGGGCTGTCTATGGGCTGAGAAGATTTATTAAATCTAGGTTTCTTTCTAGAAAAACAAAGTTCTTAATCTACAAAACTCTTGTCCAGCCAGTCTTGACATCCGCTTCTGAAGCTTGGACAGTGACAAAATTGGAGGAAAATTGTATCGCAATATTTGAGAGAAAGATTTTGCGGGGTATACTTGGTGGTGTAAAGAAAAACAATAACTGGAGAAGGAGATTAAACTTTGAACTGTACAAGATTTATAAAGAACCTGATATTATTAAATACATAAAAATAAATAGAATGAATTGGATCGCCCACGTGATTCGAATGAGTGACGACAACACAATAAAAAAGATACTGCTTTTTAGACCCACTGGAAAAAGAAAGCGGGGAAGGCCGCGGTTGAGATGGGCTGACTCAGTGGAGTCTGATTTTCTCGCAATTAATGAAAAAAATTGGAGATCAAAGATAAATCGGAAGTCGTCATGGAGAAATTTTCAGTGGAAGGCATTGGCTCACATTGGGCTGTCTAGCCAACTATGATGATGATACAAAGAAAAAATTTATCATACCTTAAGACAATTTATTTTTTTACAAAATAATCTTAATACATGTTTGTATTTGTTTTTGCCGACGTTATTCAAAAACAGTTTTTTCCATTTCATATAAATGGGATAAGGGGGAGTTTCAGAAGCAAAATTAAATTGTAAATAGCCACGAATAGTGTCTAAAACTTTTAATACTGCTGTGTGATTTGGGGGAACTTTATCATCTCGTCAATAGTTCTTCACAAAAAATTTGAGTTTTATGGGAGGGGGTGAAACATCACATGATAAATTTCTAAGAAAAGTACTTGATGTCATAATATGCTGCACAATAAGTTGTTCAATTACTACTGTCACTAAACAGATCACCTCCATTTATTTACTAATAATGTCCATCTGACTTCAAGTAAGTGATCACGGTCTCTTTTATCTTTCGTATTCTAGGTGTTTTTTTTTCTAGAAAGCAGCATGGGAGTAAAACTAACCTCTGGACAAGAGGAATGGTCATTTTCTAAAAGATGAATGGGCCTTCATTGCTGTTGGAGTAACAGATAAGACACCCTACTCAAATTTCTAGAAAGAATGTCTTTCCAAAAATAGCAAAAATGAAAAGGTCACAGGGGCAAGCAAATTCAATAGGATCTAACAACATATATTTATTTTTATCTGTAACAAGGATTGCTTATTTGCTTCATTTTTAATTTTAAAAAAAAAAAATTTTAAAAAAAGAAAAAATATTTAAAGGATTAAAAAATTAAAATGTTAGCCTAAAATTTCGGCGCATGTTTGAAAAATTTCTTTTTAGAGCGACGCTTAAACGAAGGATGTTTATCATTATTTTCCTATCTAATGTACTGGGACCTATGAAAATCGTAGTATAAATTAAAAAGGTGCATAAAAGAGGTGGTGCATAAGTGAGAGGTCACTGTATCTTAATTTTGGACTCTTCAATGGTTACATTTTTTTAAAAAAAGAACTTTAAAAGTTTTCTTGAACACAGGAAGAAAAGAATAGCTTAAAAAAATAATTTTATAATTATGTTTTTTTCTTGTTTTTATTTAATTATTATTATTATTTTTTTTTTTTTTTTTTTTGAAATGAGAAATTTAATAGCAAAATATAAGGAGAAGTTTAAGATCGCATTTATATTCCTCTTAACCTTAACCTCTTAACCAAGAGTTTGGGTCTCAGAAAGTACTGAAGGCTAAATATTTTTTATTTGTGTTTAGATGTAAAACTGTACAACACCAGGTTATATTTATCCTCTAGGCCTGACTCAGACTAAACTAAAAATAAACTATACTATGAGCCAAGATACTTGCAAATATTTCCTAGATTCATATTTTAAATAAGTTACAAAATATAGCAGTAAGGAAAATTTTTCTGGAAAAAGCAGAAAATATTCGCTAATTCAATAGAGAAGGGGAAAAAATAGCTAGGTTTTTGCTTTACTCTTAATTTGCTCTAAAATAATTTATATGCTTATCTATGCTGATAAATTCAGTTTAAATTGTTCACATTTGTCAGTTGAGCTAGACTTATTTTCTTCATGTTTACCAAGTTATCAGAAACAGTTTTAAAGTGCATATTCTCTATCATTATTATACCAGAAAAAACTTACTAACTGATTGGAGAAAAATAATTTTTGGGGGGAGAAGGAGGTAGAAATGAAATTTTAATCAGTAATAAACAAAATGGGCATGCCCAATTGTGTCCTTTTCTTTGGTCAGAAAAGTTTAACTTCATTACAGGGAAGCTACTCGCAAAATATCAAATTGTCTCACCAGAAATTGCATTTTGTCTCAGTTAAAATCTCTTTTTGGCTCAGTTTGTCTCAGCTAAAATTATTTTTTTCACTCAGTTTATCTCAGCTAAAATGATTATTAATCAGTTTGATAACAATATAAAGATAATTTTCAGGATCCATAAAACCATTAATAGCATACTAGGAGTACTACAATTATACATACATTCACTATTGCTAGGATTTTAAAAAACCTGCATATGATTGATTATAAGAGTCCACAAAATTGTTTTATGGACTCTGTTGTTTTCATATATATTGCATTTATCATTTATGCCAATGAATAGTATCTGTTCCAGAATTTTACAAAGTAAATTTTAACTTTCTTATTTTTTAAAATATAATGGTGTTAACTTTCTAAAAAGAAATATCTATTTAGTTTCAGTAATTCAAAAGGGAAAATACCCATTTTATTTTGAGCTCAAATTTCATCTCAAAATATATAACTATTCAGTTACAATGAAAGGTCTACAGATTTCAATAATTAAAAGAGAAATTCAGTAATTAAATAATGAGAGTTTAAGAAAATGCAAATAACACAAAAAAAAACACTCTTTGATAGAATTCAGGAGGTGCAGTGAAATTTTGAAATATTTTAGGTAGGAATTTTTCAAGAAAATTTTAGGGAGCACTTAATAGCCAAAAATTAGCATATATACATTTTTATATCAAAACAGAAATATTTAAAAACTATTATAAACAATTTAAAAAGACACATATAAATATAATTTTCTTTCTAAAATGACTTGCATCCTTTATTAAGTATAAAAGTAAACTTTTTAGTTTATTGGCATTGACTAGTAGATTGTACTTTCTTGCATTCACAAGATTAGTTAGTTGACTATGTTCTTTTAATTTGTATAGCTAAATATACAATCATAAAATGTGATTATGAATGCACTTAGTAATTGTTTAAATGCAACAACTGTAGAAAAATATATCACATCTTTACAGTAACTAATTCAAGAAAAAACTTAATTCTACTTCTTTCTAGAATCGTGAAACTGGATTTTAAAATTGCGTGAATATGAATTGCGATTTTGGGTTTTAAAATCGCGTGAATATGAATCGCGATATTGAATTACAAAATCGTGTGAATATGAATCACGATATTGGATTTTAAAATAGCGTGAATATGAATCGCGATTTTGGATTTTAAAATCGCGTGAATATGAATCGCGATATTGGATTTCAAAATCGCGTGAATATGAATCACGATATTGGATTTTAAAATCGAGTGAACATGAATCGCGATTTTTGATTTTAAAATCAAGTGAATATGAATCACGATATCGGATTTTAAAATCACGTGAATATGAATCGTGCGGTTGGATTTTAAAATCGCGTGAATATGAATCGCGATTTTGGATTATAAAATCATGTGAATATGAATCACGCTGTTGGATTTTAAAAACACGAAAATACAAATCACGATATTGGATTTTAAAATCGCGTGAATATGAATCGCGATTTTGGATTTTAAAATCGCGTGAATATGAATCGCGATATTGGATTTTAAAATCGCGTGAATATGAATCGCGATATTGGATTTTAAAATCGCGTGAATATGAATCGCGATATTGGATTTTAAAATCGCGTGAATATGAATCGCGATATTGGATTTTAAAATCGCGTGAATATGAATCGCGATATTGGATTTTAAAATCGCGTGAATATGAATCGCGATATTGGATTTTAAAATCGCGTGAATATGAATCGCGATATTGGATTTTAAAATCGCGTGAATATGAATCGCGATATTGGATTTTAAAATCGCGTGAATATGAATCGCGATATTGGATTTTAAAATCGCGTGAATATGAATCGCGATATTGGATTTTAAAATCGCGTGAATATGAATCGCGATATTGGATTTTAAAATCGCGTGAATATGAATCGCGATATTGGATTTTAAAATCGCGTGAATATGAATCGCGATATTGGATTTTAAAATCGCGTGAATATGAATCGCGATATTGGATTTTAAAATCGCGTGAATATGAATCGCGATATTGGATTTTAAAATCGCGTGAATATGAATCACGATTTTGAATTTTAAAATCACGTGAATAAGAATAGCGCTGTTGGATTTTAAAAACGCGAAAATACAAATAGCGATATTGAATTTTTAAATTGCGTAAATAAGAATCACGATGAATAATTTTTAGATCACGTGAATACGAATCGCAATGAGTAATTTTTAAATAGCGTACAAATACGAAAAACGAGATCTGATATTACAACTGCGTGATAACGAATCGCAATATTAAATTTAAAAATGCGTGAATACGAATCGCGACGTTGGATTTTAAACTCGCGAGAATACAGATCGCGATATTGAATTTTTAAATTGAGTGAATAGGAATTGCTAGTACGATTTGTAATCAGCGTAAAAAAAAATCGCAACACATAAGTTTTAAATCAGTTAAATACGAAAATCGATGATTGATATTAAAATCGCCTGATTAAAAATCGCGATTTTAGCATTTCCCAGGGTAGTTCCTAATATTTAAAATTCCGAAAATCTGCCAAACGAAAAAAAAAATCAAATATCGGTGGTCGAAACGAAACGCTTAGACTCCTTTCCACTCTATAGCGGAAGTCGCGGGAATCCGACTATCGTTCCGGCGGCTTGGGTTTCTCTAATTGGACTCCCTAAAAATTTTAGTTTTTGGAACATGGTCGAAAATTTTAAAAATTGGGTGAAAAAAGCGGATTTCTGCTTTTTCGTGGAAGTCTTTCATCCCGTGGAGACGTGAACGGCAAAATGATCTCCAATGACTCACGGCGATGCGGATTAATATTTGAAAATGAATTCAGGTTTGCCAAATTTTGGACGTTTTGTCTCAGAATGGCGCAGCTTTGGCAGAAACTGAGCTGAATGTCGCAAAATGGCGCAGTTATGCCGTTTTTTCTCAGTTTGTCGCAAATGACGCAAGCGTAGCATCCCTGTCATTATCTTAAAATGAAATTGAACATTTGAAAGCAATATTTTTGCAATGTTATCACTGCTGTACACTTCTACAAAAAAAATTGCTAATAATTCAAAATTTAACAGCTATCTGGCCTGCCAGAACTAATTTCTTATCTCATAGAGGCATATCATCATCAATCAATCTTATCTTTCTCCCTCTTTCCATGTAAAAGATTATAAAAATTGCATACAACATTAAATATGGAACACAATTTAAAAACCATAATTATCATTTTCCATCTAGCTTTCCATCCCGAAGAAAGTAAAAGAGCTTTCTTGTACCATAAATACATTGATTGCAGTTAAATATGATTTAAAATTACATTAAAATATTCTGCGCATTTTGGTAACAAAATTGGTTTCATTTCTTTAGGGATAAAATTTATTTTAAAACTAAAGTTAAATAGGTAATAAGATTAAAAAAAAAGTTTAAAAAAACTTTAATTTAAACATTTTAAATTTATGTCTTTAAGTTTTATGCTGATGTATTTTATTGTCTTATGTTTTTTATTGCTTTATCTGATTCTTACTTATTAAATTTATATTGTTATGACTTGACTTCTTGTCAAGCAAAATCTGGCCCTACACTTTAGTACATTTATTTTTTCTTCACCTGCAAAATTTTTAAAATTGTCCAAATTTTCTTTTCATTTTTTAAAATTTCTTTTTTTTTAAAAATAAGCTCATATAACAGATTGATCTATTAGTTGATAGTCCAATTTTGTATTTTTAAAGTAATGTTTAACCTTTTCTTTTCACAACACACTATGAAAATTAATAACATGTTAATGTAAAAAGTGAAGAACAAAGACACAAATATTATATAATTGCTTATTAATGACATTACAATTTTTTTAATATTTCTTAACAAAAGTATTTTATGTTCAAGTCAAGAAATAAATTTAGATTTATAAGAAATTTTATGGCAATATTTAATTCAAAAAAAAAACAAAAAAAAAAAACAGACAAGGATAACCTAATTAGAACCATTCGTTTTAAAACTCACCCCAGATAATCAATTCGTAAAAAAATCTTCCAATTATTAATGGCACCAAAATCAAAAGGATTCTCATATATCTATGAAGAACAAGAATAAACAAATAAATTAGACAAAAATAATTACTGTAATGAAGATCTAATTAACAAAGAAAATCATAAAAAAAAAATTAAAAAATGATACAAAATATTCTTATAACTATTTAAACGAGAATTGTAGGACATATGAAATTAAAAACAAAAGATATGTAGAACAGAGTAAGGAAATCTGAAAGGCTGAGTCAAGTACTCTGTGATCTTTTATACACTAACATATCTTTTAAAAAACAGGCTGCATTAAAAATATTTGTATAAAAATTTAAAAGAAAAGTTGGCTCAACTATATACCCATGTAAAAATCATGGAATATTACAGACAGAATTATACATAGGAGGAATAACGTTTTCATTATAACTAAAATAATTTTTATACTCACAAAAATACTATTTCATTTAGTTTAGAATTGCTAGTAAAAGAAGAAGTTTATGTTAATTTTGTATCGACTTTTTAGCATTGTTTGTTTGGGCTTAAAATAATTTTGTAAGGCAAATGCTTAGAGATAAAATGTAACATACATTTTAATTTCTAGAATTTTTTTTATCTTTTTCCTATTTTGGAAGGGAAAAAAGTATTTCTGATGATTTTTCAATATCTTTAAACCATTGCAAAATTTTGAAAATAGTTTGTAAGTCTCTCTTTAATAGAAAAACTTGATTTTTAAGTACAGTAGAGCACCACTTATCACCAATCTGGACCAAAGTTGATCTGATTAACAAAATCTTTGTATAATCCAGAACATACTTTGTAACAATATTCTTGAGCATAATTTATAACAATAATTAATTTGTAACAATTTATAGCCAATGCATAGATTCCATCAAATATAAAAAGTTTTTTTATTTTTAATACCTTGCTTTATTTACAGTAGGGAGCAAAAGTTATGAAACGATACATTTTTCTGTTCAAACTTTTTCAGTAAGCAAAATTTCATAGTTAGGTAAAATAGTAATTTGTAGTTTTAGTCATCCTACATGGAGTGCAACTAATAAGAAAGAGAAAAAAATTAAAAGTTTAAGAAAGAGAAAGAGAAAAGTCTGCAATCTCCACCAAATTTGGAATTCCAAAATCTAAGAAGTAAGTAAATTCTTAAATTCTAATTCTAAATAGTAAAGAAATGGTAGTATGAAAAAATAAAACCCAAACAAGAACGCTAATCAAAAAAAGTCAGAAAAGGTTAAAATATAAAAGTATATTATCTTAAAACTCTTCCTTCCTGCTGTACATTTTTATTTTGTTTTGAATACATTTCATGACTTATTTTTAATTGAAATGTCAGCCACCATTGTCATACTGAACTGTGAAGAATAAGCATAATTAACTTATCTGCCTTTTATTTAAAATCCTGGATCGCACAATACTTCCTCTGTGATAAGATTATTTACTCACATAATCATCCTAAATTAAAATTATCGACTTCAATTTTACCGCTGATCCAACCTCTTTGAAATTGCCAACACATATAATCATATTCCTGAACAATATCAATATATTATTGCTTCCTATGGTCTTTTAAATGAAATGAACATAATGAGAAAAATTTAATAAAATGTCAATGCAAAAAGGGAGCATTGTATAAAAAATTTCAGAAAATGGAAAATCAAAACAAAAACTAACAATTTTAAACTTTAATTTATTAAGCTAAAACGAAAATTTCCAGCACTGAAGAAATTTATTTTACTGATGAAGACTTTACCACTCAAAAATCAAGAAAGTATTGTTACCTTAAACTTTTTAATATAAATATTATATTAAAGCTTCATCATAAAATATTACATAAATTTTTTGTTCTTGTAATAAAATAATTTTAAAAAATGCAAAAATTAGATTTTTTTAATGGCAATATGAACCGAGCTGAAGGTTCCTAAAACCATTCAAATGGCCCTAGAGCAGACACATGCAGTGAATATTTTCTTTGACACATAATTTTTTTAAAATCAAATTTTTGTCCTTTCAATCACGATTTAAGTAAGTGAAAAAATCTTCAAGAGAGAACTTCATAGAATAAAACAAAAATTCTTCAGTTTTACTTTATTTGCCTCCATAAGAATCTTTTTTTATGCCTACTTTATATTTTTCTTTTAAAATTTATAACAATAAAAAGTAAAAAATTCAAGAAAACAATTTAATAAATATTTTAATCGTGTTGAATCTGGAAACGAAGGTTTGAAGGCACATTTGGAATCAGGAGGATATACTTTTAACAGCTGCTACGACGCCAACATACATTGTATCACTTTTTGTTATTGCTACTTATTCTGCCAAGCTTGAACCTGTGTGCAATCAGCTGCAAAAAGTAAACACAAATCTAAAAGAAGTAACTGATTACGTAGTCAAATTGATAGATGTGCTGCAAATTCATCGAAACAATGCTTCTGAAGAGTTTACTACAATTTTCACGAAAGCAGAACACATTTGCGAAGAATTAGGCATTGAAATGAATTAACCTTGAGTGGCATCTAGACAAGCTAATAGATTGAACGTGCCTGCTGAAACCGCAGAAGAATTTTTCAGGAGGTCAATCTTTATACCTTATTTGGGCTCCATTATATCTTTGTTGAAAGACTGTTTTTCTTCTACACAAAGAAAAACATTTTCACTCCTTAGGCTTCACCCAAATGCGATGAACAAACTGGACAAAGAGCCATATCTTGAAGTTTTAGAAGATATATATACTACATAAGAAAAGAATCAAAGATGACTCAGAATTCATTGAAAAAGTTATAAACAGATTTGGACAACTAACAAGATAATTATAATTTTTGTTTGATTAAACAGTTTTTTTAATTGTTATGTATCAATAATTGCTTGGGGGGAAAGCCTGCCGCCTCCACGTGGTGCCCCCTGGATACCCCTCACTGGGTAACTAAATGGCAGGCAAACATACATGATGAGTGAACGAAAAGCCTTTGATACTGCATCATCCGTCCCGCCGGTCAATAAGGGATGCATTCGGGAATTAGGCAGAGGTTCCTGTTCGAAAAGTTTTATTAAGTCTCCAGTAGCATATGGTAAGCCCTCGGGTGAGCCCAGTGCTAATACCGCTGCTTTGCAGTCTGCTTTGGAAGCTGGTGAGGCATCCAAAGGTGCAGGCCCTTCCTCTGCAGGAGTCTCTGGTCCCCAGAGGCACTCAGGGGACAGTGCGTCTGGTACCATTGAATTGCCCAAGAGCCGGAAAAAGAAGTTAAGGAAAATGAGGGCCATGGCGGCGTGTGGAGGAGTTAAGAGACATAGGTCTTCTGGCGCAACTCCATCTCCCAATGCGCTAATCCAAAAAGAAAAGAAGCCCAGGGAAGATATTGTTCCTGGGAGGAAAGCCCAATCCAGTGGAGTGGTTCCCCCCATTGGGGATAGCTGAGCTGGAGAGGGGGATTCAACCGGGGGCCTCCAATCTGGTGTCTCTTTTGCATGTGCAACTGAGTCTACCAAGATCCCTATAGTCCTGGAGGACTTTCCTCCGGACAAGCTTTCTCTGGAAGACTCTAATAACATCTTAAGGGAAATCTTAGAGCGGACTGACGCCATTCCTGGTGGTGAAAGACTGCCCGAGATTTACAGCAACCACCTCCAAAGTGGAGCGCTGGTATTACAATGCAATGAGTTTACTGTAGGGTGGATAAAAGGCCACTTCAACAACAAAGCCTTGGGTAACCTCATGCTCAAGGTCATAGGTGCAAACGAGCCACCCAAGTCCGTGAAGATTGCTTTTAAAACCAAAGAGCAATTCTCCAATCAGAGCACCGTTTTATGGCGTCTTCAGAGACTAAACCCAGGGTTGAAGTCTATGGGGTGGAGGGTTCTGCAAAGTGCTGAGGGACCAGGCACCTCTAGATGGATCTTTGAGGTAGAGCCTGAAGACGCTGATGCAATTGCGAGAGCAAATTTTTGTGCACTAACTGGAGTGGATCTTGGTGTCTTTAAGATTATCCACAATCCTAACAGGAAAAAACCAGTTGAGGCTCCAACAACATCGGACCTCTCTGTAGAACCTGATGTTCAAGAGGACATGGAACAGGAGAATGAACCTTGGCCGGCCAATTCCCCCGATTCCAAGGTAAGTTCAATTGGGGCTCTTGATTTTTCAGAGCTTGGGTTGGACTCGGGGTCAGATGTAACATTACAACCTGACTCACCAGCTTCTATGCTTGGTATTGATGAAGCAATAGAGCTGTTAAAAGAAGATTTTTCTTCTAAAGATGATCAGGATAGATAGGAGTCATTCTGGTATCACTCATACTGCTAACCAATGGCTACAATCAAGGTTGGTCAAATTAATCTCCATCATAGCATTGCTGCCTCAAGCCTTATGGCCAAAAGGTTGAATGATGGAGAACTAGATATTGCTCTTATACAAGAGCCTTGGACCCGCAAGGGTAGAATAATGGGTCTCAATGTTAAAGGTTTTAAGGGGGTAATGCCTGCCGCCTCCACGTGGTGCCCCCTGGATACCCCTCACTGGGTAACTAAATGGCAGGCAAACATCATGATGAGCGAACGAAAAACCTTGGATACGGCATCATCCGTCGCGCCGGTTAACAAGGGATGCATTCAGGAATTAGGCAGAGGTTCCTGTTCGAAAAGTGTAATACAGTCTCCAGTAGCATATGGTAAGCCCTCGGGTGAGCCCAGTGCTAATACCGCTGCTTTGCAGTCTGCTTCGGATGCTGGTGAGGCGTCCAAAAGTTCAGGCCCTTCCTCTGTAGAAGTCTCTGGTCCCCAGAGGCACTCGGGGGACAGTGTGTCTGGTACCATTGGACTGTCCAAGAGCCAGAAGAAGAAGTTAAGAAAAATGAGGGCCATTGCGGCGAGTGGAGGAGCTAAGAGACCAAGGTCTTCTGATGCAACAACCTCTCCCAATGCGCCAACCCAAATTGGAAAGAAGCCCAGGGAGGATGTTGTTCCTGGGAGGAAAGCCCAATCCAGCGGAGTGGTTCCCCCTAGTGGGGATAGCCGAGCTGGAGAGGGGGATCCAACCGGGGGCCTCC